AAGCTGAAAACTTGCAAAGCCAGCCTATGGTGAAGGAGGGGAGAAAGAGGAAGGGGCAGTGAAAGGAGGATGGAGAGGAGAAAGCCAGAATAGAAAGAAGAAACAGGGAACTGGGATGGGGGCAGGGAGATGGCGTGTGGTAAAGCTGCGGGCTGTGGACTCTCCCTTCTCAGGATCTTAGGATTGTTTTCCTGGCCCTCCAGTCATATGTGGGCACCCAGACCTGGCGGGGGAGGGCGAACCCCACCACCCCAAACCACCTCCCCCAGGAGAGGAACCCCAGTGTCTGTGATATCACCTACCTACCCAGTGAGGTCTCAGCTTGGTCCTCCCCTCCTTGTCAGAGATGGGGGCTGGAGGCACTAGAAACAAGGAGGGATACCAGTAAAGAGTGAGTGGCACAAAGCAGAAGGCAGTCCCCACTGGGGCAGCTCTGGGTTCTCTCTTGGGACCTCGGCTTTTTCCGAAGGCCTTGGCATGTGCCCAACAGTTGTTCCTTCTGGCCTTGCCCTCGTGCTCAGTGGCAGCCTGCGCGTCATCCCTTGCCACTGACGGGAATCAAACAGGGGCCCCTTTATCTGACAGCGAGAAGGACTGGGTTGCCCGGTTTCTGTGACTCTAAGTTGCCAAGATGCAGCTTGTTCCTGGTGTAAAGTGAGCTGCTACAAGGAAACAGAAGCCTTGGGGTCTGCGTGTGAGGCAACAGGATGGCGCCAGAGGGTAAGGCTGGGGTTTCACAGGACCACAGGGTGCTTCTCCCCTCAACTTGCTATGGTTGAGTGTCTCTACAAACAAGAAAGTCTGCCTCCAGTCCTCATTTCTAACTCACTATCAACTACGACAACAATAACACGGATCCCAGTAATAAGAATAATAGCAACCATTTCCTGAGTTATATGCCAAAGGCCTTGGTCAGTGTCTTATGCAGATTATTTCATGAAATCCTGCAACACCACTGTGGGATAATCAGCACTGTGGAAAGCAAAGGAGGACACTTAGGATTCCAAAGGTTGCCTAAATTTTCACAGCTTGAGGTAAAGCTGAAATTTGATCCCAGGCCTGTCTGATTTTTCCTGCCTCAACAATACAGTCTCCTTTTCGGTTTTAAGTCGCAATCCCAAGCCTTTATCTCCAGAAAATACTCATTCCGTCCTCCCTCCCTCAGCGCTCCTTCCTGCACCAGCTTTGGGAAGCCCCTGGTTGCCCAGGCTGTCCCTCCTGCTGGCTCAGGTTAGGTCTGGAGTTCCCTCTGTGGCCCTTGGGGTCGAGGTGGTGACAAGAGAGCAGTCCTGCCCTCTGCTTGCACTCACCAGGGAGGAGGAGAGGGGGGTGAGAGTGGCTGTCATTTCAAACCAGGAACAAAAACATGAGGTTGTTGGAGAGGTTTAGGGTCATGTGGTGCCTTGGGCTCCTGGTTCTCTGGAGTCCCACAAAAAGGAATAGAAGAATGTGGAAAACTACCAGGTCTTTGAGGGAGCTGGGGCCTGGGGCAAAGGTGACCTGAGAAACACTTCTTCCCACCAGAGCACGTGCCCTGAGAAGGCTGGTGCTGCTCTTTGCCGACGGGGTAGTGGCCCCTGCCAGCGCGGCCTGAGAGGCAGCCCACCGGCATCCCTGGACCCGGTGTCCCCTGGGGGAGGGAGCCTGTTCCAGACCTCGGAAGGCCCAGGCCCCTCCCCATTCGCTCAGTGAAAACTGTGCTGCTATGGCTTGAGGTGGTCCCGGAGCCACCTCCCACCACAGGGCCGCCTCCGGGCCCCTCTCACAGGGGATGCTGAGGAGCGCGGCTGGAAGAGCCCACGTGCGCCAGATATTCCTGAGAGTCTGTGAGTAAATCAAGGAGAGATCGGCAGAGAGAAAGGAAGAACGGGGCAAAGACAGCTGGGTGTTCTCACACGGGGAGGAGCCGTCACCACCCGAGGACAGAGAGCCAAAACCACAGAAATGGAGCAAAGTGACAGAGAACACCGTCTTCCTTTCCCCCTGGGGTCTGGGCACACGCACTGCAAGATGACTCTAGGCATGATTTAGGTCAACCCCTCTTTTAAATATAAGGAAGTTGAAGCTCGGGAACGGTTCAGGAGCTGCCCTAGATCACACCACTCCTGAGTGGGTCTCTCGTTCAGTGTTCTGGGGGCAATGAGGAGAGGCAACCGTGTCCCAGCTGGAGACCTGACAGGGAAGGGACACAGCTTTGACCACCCTCACGCTGAGCGCCCTCCCCAAGGACTGCGGGGGCTTTGTCTCCTCTGTAAAACTCGCTGGGCCCTCAGTTAAGTCATTAATAAAAACAAGGACGAGAACACCTGTTTTCCTTCCTTGCAGGGCTGTTGTGAGGATCAGCTGGAAATAATGCACGGCCAAGAGCTTTCCAAGTGCAAGGTGTTATTAAGTTTGTGATTAGGACAGTTCAGTGAGGGCTACAGGAATAATGGGAGGATTAATGCCAGCGCCGTGCGAAGGAGGGAGGCTAGAGTCTGCCCTGTCCTCTTCTCTTGGTCACCTGCCCTGAGAGAAAGCAGTCGGTGTTCCCAAATTGACTTAAATAAGAAACGTGCGGTGGCGGCAGCCATCCCTCACTCAGCCTTCACTTGCCCAAGGCAGAGAGATTTTAATTTTCAAACCATAATGAGAAAAAGAAACTCAGAATTCAAGAATATTCCAGTGAAACAGTCAAAATAGCTGTCCACACTCTGAATGGAGGGAAGAAATGTAATTAAAATTTCCCTTTCCCTCCCTAGCACCAACAGGCCTTAAAGAAACGGGGCTGGGGGGCGCCTGGGTGGCTCAGTCGTTGGGCATCTGCCTTCGGCTCGGGTCATGATCCCAGAGTCCTGGGATCGAGCCCCACATCGGGCTCCTTGCTCGGCGGGAAGCCTGCTTCTCCCTCTGACCCTCGCCCCTCTCATGCTGTTTCTCTCTCGCTCGCTCTCTAAAAAATAAATAAAATCTTAAAAAAAAAAAGAGATTAGAACCTCCCAGCTGGAGGCTGGCTTACAGGCAGGCAGTATAAGCAGGACAAGGGCTAGAACGGTAGGTCTGAGCTGATGATCCTGTGTTCTAGAGCCAAGGGTAGATAGATAGGCACACTTAGCAACTGAAATGTCACCTGCTTCCTGGCCCCCTTTTCTACCAGGACATAATATGCCTGAAGCTGGCCATAGAGGTGGAAGACTTGTGCTTGACTCAGATCTGTCCCTTTTCTAGTGGCTAGCTTTGGCAAATTGACCCCTCTGGGTCTCCACTTCCTCATCTGTAAAATAAGGGCATGAGGTAGGGTAATTTGAGAAGGAAGGAATAAACCAGGAACTACAGTACAGATCTTAGTTACCCTTTTCATGCCCTGTCCCTTTGGTTCCCCGGCATGATGGTCACACAATAGATGCTCTCTTGTCTGCCTGAGGGGTCAGGGTGCCCCCAAGAGGCAGCCCCATCCTGCCCAGGGGCAGCCAGAGCCCTGAAATTTCCAGGAAGTGTTACCATGAGCCGGTGTGTGTGTTGTTTTTCCAAGGACCCAAGGTAGAGGGTGGGTGGGAGGAATTTAAGTCAGAGGAGGCACTGTGGGGTGGTGGGGGTAGGGTGGGAAGGTAAAGTCAATTTCCATTGCTTTGCCCCAGAAGGCCCAAGAGTGTGTGTGTGTGTGTGTGTGTGTGTGTGTACAGGGCTTTTCTCCTGCCTGGTTCTGGCTGGGTTTGAAGAAGGAATCCTCACTGAAGATTGATGTCACAGACTTGCCTTCCCCTCCCCCAGCCTCATCCTTGGTGATTTAAAGAAATTATTTGGACATAAGAGTTAATAGAAGTAGGTTGCTAGTGTGTGGGTGAATTCATCACTGTCTCCCTGCATTCCAAGAGCAGATCTGTCTTTCAGGGCGAGATAGCCTGGAGTGACTTTCCAAGGTCTGGGGAATAAAGGCTACCTTGGGAGGACAGGGTTGGTAGCAGCCTGGTTAGGGATTTGGGGAAGCTGGGGTGACTACAAAGTGCAAAATGTCTGTAGGGATTGACTGCGAGGGTTTTCTTTCCCTTTTGTTCTGTAATGAGGTGGGGGGGGAGGCAGAGGGTATTGGCTTTGCTGAGAACGCTGCTGCCCCAGACACCCCCTCCCTGCCCCATCTGTTTCCTGCCCTGGGAAGTAGGCAAACCCCTGCAGCCCACTGCTCAGGGTGAGGAGGGCTGTTTTTGCACTGTTGTTGGCAGTGATCAGAGGTGGGGCAGAGGAGAGGTAAAGGAGGACCCTTTGATGGAGTGGTGCTCTGGAAGGAAGATAACTGGTTCTCCTCCCTTCCATTCCCCCCCCGGCCCCATTTGAGCCGCTCAGCACTTCCTGGAGGTGGCACTCAGAAAGGGAGCTGTTTTGAAAGCACAAAGACCTAGTGCTGTAAGGCTTGGAGGCCGGGAGGTAGGGAGGATGCATGAGGGGAAGATAATTAGGCAGGTAGGGGCAGAATTCTCTGGGCCAAGAGAGGACTGCTGCCCCCTCCAACCCCCCACACAGCCAGGCCTTCCCCACAATCCAAGGGTGTGCGTGTAGGTGTGTGTGCACTCACACCTACATTCCGCATGTGCACAGAGATGCAGCTATGAAGTGTTTAGAGGGAGAATGATAGAATAATGCTGAGGCTTATTCCCTACCTCTCCAGCCCGGCAGATGGTTTCTTTCAAACATTTGCTGGGTCTTGATCATCTCTCCATTCCTTAATCTTGCTTCTACCTCTTCCACCAATTTCTCCAAGTTCTGTCTCTTTCCCTACCTTTCTATCTCTGATCTGGAAAATGGGAAGTGTTGAAAGAACCCCCCGCACCCCCACCACCCACACACATTTCTAGCTGCCACTATTTAGGATGCAGGAAGAGGAGTTTATTTTTTTGTTGTTGTTTATTTTTTTTAAAGATTTTATTTATTTGACACAGAGAGAGAGAGCTAGATAGAGCACAAGCAGGGGGAGTGGGAGAAGCAGACTCCCCGCTGAGCAAGGAACCTGACATGGGCTTGATCCCAGGAAGGCAGATGCCTAACTGACTGAGCCATCCAGGCGCCCCAGGAAGAGGAGTTTAAATCAGATTAAAGGAAGAACTGGGAGCAGGAAGTGGTGTGTGGTTGGGAGAGAAGACAGCCACTAGGGATGGGCTGTAGAATCCTATAGGCTCATAGGATGTTGGAGCTCAAGAGACCTGAAGAGTCTTTAAGTCTCTCCTGAGCTTGCAGACATGGAGCCAGAGGTCCTTTTGGAAACAGCTATTGTTATCTGTATAATCAATGGTAAATTTGGACATGTCCCCCTGGCACCTGGGGGAGTTGCTGGGGAGAAGTGGGCTCTCTCCTGTGCTCCCCAAGGCTGGCAGAGACCCCCCACCACCACACACTCACTGAGATGATTCACTGAGTGTGGTATAGCCTCTTCTCTCTTGAGGCTCAGAGGAGAAGACTGATTTTGCTACAGAACATGACTTTTCTCCTGAAGCCAGGAACACCTGCAAACTGGACAGCCTCCGCAGCGCTCTGGGCCTGTGCCCAGGGGCCAGGCTGCAGGGTCCCCATGTGTCCTTGTCCCTGGTCAACAGTTCTCTGGTAATTCCCTTCCTGAGAGACCGCTAAGGAAGTCCAGCTCTGATTCAGGCTCTGGCAGTGTACAGAAGAGGCAACATAAAGCGTGGCCCGTTCTGCTGGGGCAACTATAATCTGCTTCAATACTCCTTCCTTCCTCCAGCCCTCAGCCAAATCAGACAGCAGGGGGCGCTCCTGGGTCATCCCAACGAGAGGATTCTCGGCTGCTGTCTTTAGCCTGAACTTTGAGAACACGGGAAATTTTGTCTGTCCACCTGTCAATCGGAGGGTGAGTAGGGCAGGCCCTCTGGGAACTGGAAGCAATCTCTTTCTGGCAGGCAGAGACAGAGACTTGAGAAAGAGGCTTTTCTAGCTTGTCCCTGAGACTCCTTGGGCTGGAAGGAATCGGACTTCTGCCTTGAGGAGATCCGCTAGTAGGGCAGGTCTCCGTCCAGGAACCATGGCCAAGGCCAGGTGGGTCCCAGTATGGGGACAGTATAACTCTTGCCTCTTACCAGTCCCCAGCACCTGACCCTGGTTTGGCTATCTTTGGGGAGCTGAATTTTCTTCAGAATGACTTCCAGATTAATCTGTGTTGCTATTGCCCATGTCCTGCCCACTAGGCTCTTCCTCATGGGGAGAAAACAAAAACAACCTTTTTCTCTTCCAGACCTAACTGTCCTCTGTGACTGTTCCTGTACCTATCTAGGAGGCACATAGAGGTGGGGTGAGGCAGGGAGTGCTGAGCAGGGGTGTGGCACATTCCTAACCTGGAGCTGACACAGCAGGGGCTTCTCTGCCCTCAGGGAAACCCTGGAAGGGGTGGCTTCCCAAGGCCCAGCTCCTGCTTTTTTTTTTCCAGTTGTGTCCCTCAGATTTCCTCATCCCCCACCCAGTCATCCCACAGCCACCAACCGTCAGGAGTTCCTCCTTTCCAGTTAACAGGGCCTGTGGGGGCACTGATTTATGGGCACAAGGAGGGTGACAGCTTCCGCAGCCCTAGAAGAAAAGCCTGGCCTTTGGCTTCTAGCACCTCCATATCTTCTCTGTCCAAACAATGAGGAGAGAGTCCAGGGCATGGTGGCTGGTGTGGAAGACGGTATCGTTGGGCTGGAGACAAAGGCTTTCTTGCCAGCAGAGTTGAGGACACAGGCCCGAGTCTGTGAGTTTATTCTGGGGGAGGCCGTGACTGAGTCATCCTCAAGACCTGGTTTCTAACATCAGAACCCAGCATCATTGGTTCTCCCTAGAGGCTGCTCTGCAGGAGCTCCACCTCATCCCACAAGGCCTCGGGGTTGCTGTGAACCTTAAAGTAATAGGTCTTCCAGAATACTGAGGAAGGGGGTAAGGGAAAGGGAAAGACAAAGTTAGTGTGGGGGGCCCTGGCTGGGTCTAGCATGAGAACTGCCTCACTTTCCTCAATGTCTTAGGGGTCCTGATAACCCCAGCCCCAGCCCACTCCCATGGAGGCATTTACTCTCAAGCTCTCCAGGGCAGTAGAGGTTCGGGATGGGGCCTTCTTTGATTGCAAATCTGCAGAGAAGCAAATTCTGTAGTTTGCATGGAGCCCTTTCCCTGTGTCTCCCAGCTCTGTCAACCAGGACACTCCCTGAGGTTTCGCCTTAAGTTTTAGCCCACCCTTTAGCTTGTGACACACCCTGGAGGCCCCTGGGACACCCACCTGTGCAATTCACACTGTGAAACCATGTGTGGAAGGGGCCCACATGACAAAGGCTGCATCAAAAATTAGCCTATTCGTAGGTTGCAAAGGTCAGAAGTGTGTGTGACTGGCCGCTGGGGGCCTATTGGTGTTTTCAGGGAGGAAGATGGTGAGGGTTGGGGAGCAGTCTGCAGCTGCTCAGCCATATTAGAGAACTCCTCACAGAAATGAGACCTCAGCTGGACCAAAGAAAGAAAGATAGGAGCCTTGAAGAGGCATTGTAGCCCCACCCACATGGTCCTCTCATCCATTCTCTTGTGTCCCCTCCCTCAGCCTGGCATCTGACCCTCTGTGTAGGGACAAAACCTTTTTCCATTCTAGATGACCTTTTACCCCTTTTCTCCAGGATGCTAGGCATTAACTGGACGTCAGCCTGCTTGAAGAAGCTCAGGCTCCTGAGACAGAAATGAGGGAGCGCAGAAGTCAAAGTCATTTCTGGTCCAGAAGTGAGTCTAGTGTTCACTGGCATGGCCGTTAGGAATGACCACCCCCCACTCCCTACGATTCCAGAAGCCTCATTTTCATGGTCTCTACTGCTTAGGGAACTAAGAGTTTGGGCTAGCTCAGTAATGGCTCCCTGATAAATAATCTAAGGCCCTGGGGAAGAAGAGAGATGTAGGAATCAAAACAACAGCTCCTATTCAATGAGCACTTTCTTTTTTTTTTTTTTTTTTAAGATTTTATTTATATTTATTTGTGAGAGAGAATGAGAGAGAGCACATGAGAGTGGGGAGGGTCAGAGGGAGAAGCAGATTCCCTGCCGAGCAAGGAGCCCGATGCGGGGCTCGATCCCAGGACCCCGGGACCATGACCTGAGCCGAAGGCAGACGCTTAACGACTGAGCCACCCAGGCGCCCCTGGAGTGATCTTTTTAAAACACAAATCTAATCATGCAAAACCCTGCTTAAATCCTTCAGTGACCTCCCACTGCTCTCAAGAGGAAGATCAACATCTTTAACATGTCTGACTCCCCAACCTATGTCAGGTTTTTTGGTATACGCTCTCCTAGAAAATGTTCCTTTCCTTCATAACGCTCACTGTGGTTTGGTTTGTCCTTATATATTCATGCGGGATTGTTTGATTAGTGTCTCTCCCTGATGAGATTGTAAGTTCCATTAGAGCAGACATTTTGTAAATATTTGCTGAGTCAATGATCAAATGAGGCCAGGACAATTTCTCTGAACCTATATTAACCACTGAAAAATTAAGTCTTTTGCCCCAGACCCCTGCGTTGGGGGAAGACCTATTTCTATTTTTATTGTCTCATAGCATTTCAAAGAAAAATGCTGCCTTGTCCCAGGCTTTCCATCAAAGTGTCCTCCTAATCACAGGGGCACATTTATCTTCCTTTTGACATAGGAGCCCTTTTTGCTCTCCATCACTCATGCTGCCAATGGTTCTTAGAGAGGGTTAGCTAGCAATACTGGCCCTTCAGGAAAATAAAGGAGGATACCTCATCTCTCTCTCCCACTAGATGATTGGCTGGGAAGCCCATTTCATCAAGAGAGAATAAAATATACCAAGTGGAGGTGCCAAGAGGAAAACAAAAAGAGAATGAGGCATGATGTTTGTTCTCAGGGAGAATTCAATCTGCTGCAGGAGACAGAAACCCCTCTTGGAGTTTTTTTTCAGCTGAGGCCCATATAGCCCTGGAAGTGGCCCTTCCTGCAAGAGGGAAACCACATGCCAGGCACTTTGACTTTTGTCCTCTCATTTAGTCTTTACAACAACAATATGAGGTAGGAATTATTGTTCCATTTGTATAGATGAGAAAACAACTGAGGCCCAGAGAGGTTAAATAACTTACACGCTTAATATATTGTATTAGACCCATTTACTTACCCGTTCCATGGCCCCCTTTAAGAGACCGGCCCAAAGTTGGCCACATGTCATACTATGTACCACAGGACCCCTCTGCCCCCCAGTGGGAAAGGGAGAAGCAGACGCCCCGCTGAGGAGGGAGCCCAATGTGGGGCTCGATCCCAGAACCCTGGGATCATGACCTGAGCTGAAGGCAGATGCTTAACGACTGAGCCACCCAGGCGCCCAGGCCCCCCAGTTTCTTAAACTACCACTTACCCACCACCACCCTCCTCTGCCCTAGGTGATTGGACCAGAAGGAGGTTCTGACCCGAGGTCAGTCAGTTTAGGGGCTAGCCAGTCACCTCTAATTTGTGGCCTGGGGGAAAAAAGACAAGCTAGGCCAATCAAATTCTGTGTCTTAGAAACCTCTGCCTAAAGCATAAAGTTCCCCAGAAGCGTCCAGAGCCTGGAAGAGAAGCTGACCTGCCCAGTATGGCTGAATCACTAAGTGTGGGTGGGACCTGACAAGGAAGAGCCAGGACGTCCAGCCGCTGAGGCGTCTCGAATCTAGATTCGTGCCCTGCTTTAGTGCCTTCTTCTGGAGTCTCTGGAGAGGCCCTAGCATGCTGACATGAACCTTCTATGCTGGAGCTAACACCAGGGAGTCTCTTTGTCCATAAGAATTAGACTCATATGGTTACGGAGTAACAGAGGCAGAATCCCAATCCAAGCCCATCTGAACCCATAGCTGGTGCTCCTTTCATTATTTCATACTGCAGAGGGGAAGCCCCTGCGGAGTGTCAGAGGCCCAATACCCTGGGAATGAATACAGTCACTTTGGAGAGAGCTACCAATTTACAGAAGGGTGTGGGGGCGCCTGGGTGGCTCAGTTGGTTAAGCGTCTGCCTTCAGCTCAGGTCCTGATTTCAGGGCCCTGGGATCGAGCCCCACGTCGTGCTCCCTGCTCAGCAGGAGGTCTGCTTCTCCCTGTGCTCCCTGCTCCCCCCCTCCCCGTTTGTGTGCTCTCTCTCTCTCTCTCAAATAAATAAATATAAAAATCTTAAAAAAAATTTTTTTTAAAGAGGATGTGTCAGAGACCCTGGGTGCTGTGAGCTCATCATAAGACTAATTAATAGTGCCTGGCCTTGCTTTGGGAATCCTTCTTGAGAAGTACAAAGCACACTGGGCTAGAAGGGCTCCCGCTGCCAGCCATAGTTCTGCATGCGACATCCTGTGTGAAGTTACTAGTCACCAGTGACATCACTCAGTGATGTCATGCCCATACTGGACAGCTCAGGGTGGGGAAGCATAGAGAGCACAAGCTTTGGGACTGAGCAGACTGGGATTCAAATCCTCTTCCCGCCTGTCTGTCCTTAGGAAAAGCAGCATTACTTTTCCTCAGTGTCCTCACTGGTAAAAATGGGGATAATTCCTATTCCACAATAAGGATTACCAGAGATAAAGGTGCAAGACCCTACGTTGAGGGGAGTTAGTGTTTAATGGGTATAGAGTTTTAGTTGGGTAAGATGGAAAAGTTCTGGAGAGGGATGGTGGTGACGGTTGTACAATACAAATGTACTAAATGCCACAGAACTGCACACTTAAAAATGGTAAATTTTATGTTATATATATTTTACATTTAAAAAAAGGACTTTATATTGATCTCCTATGTAGCAGGGCCTTATAAGTGCTGGTTTCTGTCTTCATCCTCTGTAGCAGAAGCCATGGTCCAGTCAGTCCCAGTGCCCTTTACCCAAGGCAACCCACTGGCTCTCCTCCAAGACCCTGAGGCACCACAGCTCCCTGCCCTAGAGAGTGGAGGCCTGTTGGGGCAATGAGGTGGAGTCTCCAGACCTGGGAGATAGGACCGTTATGGGCTAAGCATTTTGCAGGGCAAGAGGCCAGGACTTGAGGCTGCTGGGGCAGAGGAGAGCTAGGTCTGGGATTTGACCAGGTCCCGCCTGGGTCTGGGGATGCCAGGCCGTGGGGCAGTGTCCAGAGTTCTGCCTGCTGAGGCTCTCTCCCCTAGAGAGAAGAACACCAGGAAGTCTCCTTGTCAGGCAAGAGTGGATGATTGAGTTGTATATCTGCTGGAAATTCCAGAGCTCTCCTGGGAGGCCTTCTTTCTCCTAGCCATCAGTCTTCTGATCACACCACTAGCGATGTTCACTAAGTGTGGGCTCTGTGGAGCTGGTCTGCTGCCCCCACCCCTTCCTCACAGCACCCCGTGCTACCTGCCCCAAAGTCGGCGTCTGTGTTAATACGATGATGCTGTAATAATGGCCAAGAGATGGCTTCAGCTAACTGATTAGGCCCTCTGGAGTGGCATCCGGGACCCTGTCATAATTCTCCCTGGTGAGCAGGTGGCCAGAGCCCAGGGCTGGAGCACAGGCTCTGGCTGGGAAACTGCATCCCGGAAAGCACTGAGAGGAAAAATTGGAAGTATCAGGATTTCCCAGGTTGCTATTCCACAGGGGCCAAACATCTTTAGCAGCAGCACTATTCTAATCCAGGAGAGTTAGGCCTGGCCGCCTAGCCTGCCCAGGCAGTCCTTGACAGCGGCCTTGGGAGCCAGCAGGGCAGAGGCAGAGCTGTAGGGAGCCCTGGGCCCCAGAGCCTGGGAACTCTGCGAGATGAGATGGGGCAGGGTCTGGTCGTTCAGACACGCGGGGAGGAGGAGCTGGGTAAGGTTCAGTTGCCGGGGGCCCTCGTTTCCTTTAACATGCTGGCAACTGTGATAGGAAGGGTGGAAGTTAGGTTGCTGGGATGATTTCTGCGTGCCAGGAATTCAGAGGTATCTTGACTTCTGCTCTTCTTCTGTCTCGTCCTCAGTGCTCCTCTGAAAATTCTCTTGTCTTTGTCACCCGTGACTTCCCTGTTGCCAGTTTCAGCAGTCATGGTCATCTCTTAGTCATTCTGGAGCCACATTGACACGGATGGTTGCTTGTTCCTTCCCTTTTTTTTCTTTTTTAAAGATTTTATTTATTTAACACAGAGAGCACAAGCAGGGGGAGTGGCAAGCAGAGGGAGAAGCAGGTTCCCGCTGAGCAAGGAGCCCGATGCGGGGCTCGATCCCAGGACCCTGGGATCATGACCTGAGCTGAACGCAGACGCTTAACCGACTGAGCCACCCAGGCACCCCATGCTCGTTCCTTCCTAAAACACCCTCTTCATTTGGCTTCCAAGACACCCCTCTCTCCGTTCTCCCACCTCCATAGTCTCCTGTGCTGGCTCCACCTCATCTTCCTCATCTCTGGGATGGCCTGGGACTGACTGTCATCACACCCCTACTCTTCTTTACCCACTCTCACTCCCTATGTAATCACATCTCAAGGCATTAAAGCCAGCTGCATGTTGATGAATTCCAAACAGAATTAGTCAGCCCCTACATCTTTCCTGCATTTAGACTCACATCCAGCTGCCACTTGACATCTCCATGTAAATGTCACTCAGGCACCTCTCAAACTCACTGCCCCCTGCCCCCTGTCTTCTCCCTTGTGATAAATGCAACTCTATTCTACCAGTCCCCAAACTTCAAAGTCATTCCTGGCTTTTCTCTTTCTTGAATGCACCCTGATCCAATTCCTCGGAAATGGTGTAAGTTCTACCTTTACATTAGGTCCAGAATCTCTAGTTACACCACTCCTACCCTCATCGGAGCCACCATCATTATTTGCCTCGGCCATTGTGATTTCCTCTGAATTGGTTACTGTCTAGATGAGGCTGCTGTATCAGAGTCTCCAAAACACAAGGTTTTATACAGGATAGAAGATTGCTGCTTCTTCTTCTT